TCAGTCTGTCCCTCTCAGTGCTTCTGAATTTGTCAGGAGAACCTCTGACAGCTAAAGCCAGGTTACTGAGATTGATTTTGAGTATTAGAGGGGAAATGCTCGCTTCATATAAGTCTGAGATATTTTCTGTTGATTTTTAATACAGACAGTGTTCTTACGTGTGTGTGTATATATCTATATCTCAAAAGGCAATTCACACACACAAACATCTATACCTACACCAACATCAATCCATCTCCTTGTTTTCCTCCCGGGCAGCTGAATGCTTATCAAAAAACATAAGACCAGGACATGAGTAGATTAGAGGACAGAATGGTGCTAACAGCCAAAGAGCTTCTCTTTTATTTTGTTTTTTTCCTTTTTAGTTTTTTCCTGGCTCCCACTGTATGATCAGTTATAATCTCTATTCCCAGGCCAGGAGAGGGGTAAGGAGCAGCAAGTGCCCAGTGATGCTGTGAGTCTCTGGCTACTGCAAAGAGCAACCTGCAGCTGATTTCAAAGTCAGGGAGGGAAAAGATTTCTCCCCAGGGCTTGGCTGGAGCTTGGTGCCTTGGATGTGAGCATGCAGGAGGGCTGCAAGGGGAGGAGAGTGCCCTGCCAGGAAAAACAGGTCATTAGCTGGTAGGCTGTGCATCGTGTTGTGCAGGGGCAGATCCAAAGGTTGCAGCAACAGCTGTGCTCGCAGCGCCTGTGTTCCGCTGTGCCTGGGATTTAGGTGATGAGATTAGGGCGGGCTGGGGAGCCTGAACTGCAGTTTCTGTTACCAAATGTAAATATCTTCTCTGTTATGGAGCGGGTGTGTTCAAGATGGGGAAAAAGAATCACAGGACTGGTGTGTCTGTGACTGAAGGGCAAGTGTTGCATCTGCCTGACCGGCCAGATGGGAGTTTGATTGTTCGGCTCATTGTTGGGAATAACTCAGCATTAAGCTCTCTGAATAGCTAAAAGGGCAAAGAGCAATGAAATGAGATTATCTCCTTCCTCTATGGTTGGGCTAGAGCTTGCCAAGGGCTCCGGTTTGCTGTTTTGTGCATTGGCATTTGTTGCCAAACCCCCCGCCACCGAAGTCTTGCAAATTTCGCTCAGCTACTTGCAGCTTCACTGAAGGCCCCTTCGGCTGCCGGAGCCGCCGTGCTCCCGGCCGCCAGCAGCAGCTCGGGCACAGCTGTGTGTAGCTGCAGCTGGGTCTCGGGGTGACTTGGTGGGGGCTGTGCTGATGCAGCCCACTGTCCCCAGCCCTGGTGACGACAGAGAAGCCGATGGGAACTCCTGCTCCCCTAAAAAAGCAGCAGCAAAAAGCCAAATCAGGAACCACTTTGCGTCTTAAAGACAGAGGACGAGGTGCGTTTTTGATCATCGGAGAGCTCAAGTGTTCCCTCAAATCCTTCCAAAAGCAGCGCAGCCGCCAGCTGAGCTTTGTGTATGACCTCATGTACATCC